ATGACGAAAACGACATCGACACGGACTCATTCCCAAGCCCATGACTTGGCAAAGCTATCCGTGTGAGTTCGACGACATTTTGAGAAAAGCAGACGCTTGTGAACTCTGATAGAAGGCGGCGTTGACTGCTAAATTCAAATAAATTGGCGATCTTGAAATACGAAAATAAATCTCAAAAAGCTACAGCGCGATGACTTCCATTATAATTCACTCACACCATTGCAGTGTTGTGGGTGTGTTCACATGGCGTGAGCCAGTCAAGTGTCAGTCAGTTCGGCAGGAAGCGCGAGCTCCAACAACAAGTCGTTTGGTGCAGCCATCTTCTTTGTCTTGTACCAGCTTGATCACCAAAACAATGAAAAAAAAGTTTGACTTGAGGAGAGGTTGGGATTTGAACTGACAACTTCATGGTCAGCAGACAGCATTCATAACCACAAGGCCAAAAAGGGAAGGATAAATCGTGGGTTTTGATAAAAAATCGATACTGGCTTCCTGGGCAAATTGTAAACCATGGGAAAAGGCCGGAAATCTGGCCGAAATTCTAACTCCTTAACGGTTGCTCCAATTGTTCCGAAACCTTCACAGAACAATTAGCCGTGTCCTAACAAGCCATTCTATGTACTTTGTTGTCCAAATTTCCATTATCTTCATACATTTTAAGACCCAAACCTGATTGTAAATCTTTTTGAAACAGACTATAGTGCTAGTTGAACTGCTTATACAGTTGTGGCAAGTGAAATCCGACACTTGCCATAGGGGACAGCGCCTCAAATGGACATCAATGATCTAATGCACTGCACCTAATTTGTACTATAGAGCCGCATGCATCCCAAACAGGTCGAAAGGTCACAGCTTAGATACACACAGTTCACAAACATGGTACACATAAGGAGTATTGGTATCCAATTCCCAGTCATTTTTGCCAGCACCTTTTGAACCTTGACTGTGATGAGTACGAATTCTGTCATCAGACAGATAAAGTTGTATGCAACACATGTACTGTACGTATGCAGGGCTGCAGAGGCTGCAGGATGCACGGTATATAACGGGAATGTTCCTGCGTTCCATGTTTTTGGTGTTATATACGGTGGCCCTGCTAAGGGCGCGGTCACACATGCACTAGGATTCGCTTCGGCGACGAGGTTCGGCGACAGCGAGCCTGGTGTCGCTCCAGCGAAACCACGTGTGTATGGTCACACATACAAACAGGGCACAACTCCTACTTTGGCGGAAAATGAGACTGTGGTGCATACGGTACGGAGAATAGACGAGGTCAATGACTATCTTGCACGCATTTTTGTTGCATGGACATCATACGCATACAAATTTCTCGTAGCAAGTCCATATACAGCAGACCGTCGTGTTTTCCGCTGAAGCGAATCCGCAGAAGCAACAGTCTCGCTTCGAAAATTTTGGAGGAAGCGGATTGGAGTTTCCGCTGAAGCGGAAGTTCCGCTTTTCGCAGTTGCCATGCCATTTTTCGCTCCTGCGACCTCGCTTCAGCGTATACGCTACTTTCGAGTGCATGTGTGACCGGGCCCTAATGCTAGTTGAACTGCTGTGTAGAGTGCGTGCATCCTCTTCTGGCTGTGTGCTATTCGTACTTACTGTACGAGTACAACGGGATTGCCTGCCTGGAGTGGCGCAGTGTACGGGTTTGGATGAACCATTGTACTGCTGCTGGTGAAGCTGTTGCACTTCCCCCTTCAGCTCCGAAATTTCCAGCTTGAAGGACAAAATTATGCTATCCCTGGCCTCCCTCTAGGTGGCAATCTCCCCCGCCAAGGCCTGGATAGTGTTAGCAAGGCTATCTAGCTTAGAGTCATTAATCCACGACGTACCGGTGTCAGTGATGGGCTTCACTCCAACGCCTTCCTTCCGCAGTGCCTGCACCAGCTCTGGCCGGGCGAGGCTCGAAGGGGAGTCCAGGGACTTGCGTTCAGCGATGGCGATTAGTTCCTGGTACCCCATCAGGGCAAGATCAAGGTCCTGGTCCAGGGACATTCTTAGTTTCAGCAAGGACAAAGGTAGAAGGGTAAACTGCTGTTGGGGGGCTCCCGGAAAGCTGTTCCGAGGAGCACCAAAAACGTCAACCACCCCCTGAAATTCAAAACTTTTTTTTATTGGGGCAGATGAAGAGACTCAGACAAAAACGAACAGAACGATTACATTGTGGAAGAGAGAGACAAGAGAGAGATCAACTGAGGGTAGCAAGACAAAGAGCCTGGGTAGCTATGGCAAATATGGGCGCGCAAGTAGCTACCCAGGCCAACGGAACAAAAGGTGACAAAAGGTGAGTACGATGTAACAAGTTAGTATGGTGTACATGCAGGCTAGCTTGTAAGTTGTAGAACGCATGGGAGGAGGTACCTAACACCACATATTCCACAAACGGAATTACCACGATACAGCTTGGACAACAGGATGATCATTGCAACTCCTGAACAGCACTGCCACATAATGTGTACATAATCTATTTAAGGTGTACATGTGCGTTGCCACCTAGTGTATTCATGGCAGGTGCTGATAGTACTCATGATCCACCGATTCAATGAATAAAACATTTGAAAAATTGGACTACTATAAGATGATGAACGCACGTTAAAAACTGTTCACCCGTTTTCTCCAGAACATTGCACTTTTCTACATTACTTCATCATTTATTATCACATGATTAATTGTGACAAACTTGTGACCGTGCGGGCTGAGTCGCACGTGTACATGTAATTGGATTCTGCCAAGGAATGGATGCTCGCCGTCCAGAGGCGTTATGAGGAGGTTTGAGGCAATCACCGTCAAGCCTCCAGGTGGTAGGTTTGTAGAAGTGGCTTGTCCGGATATTGTAAACGTATACATCCGACTGAATCCTACTAGTACCTGTATGACGCCCGCTGGTTCAGGGATATCCAGACCGAGTCCAGCGTGACTGCAGGCCAAACTCATCGTAGCGTTCTGGTGAAAGAAAGGCAATCCCCACAACAACGGGTAAGGACCGTGTCCGGGAACAGGGTGAAACGCCGTATCGTTTATATCAGCCAGATCTGCCAGCTGCGACAGTACGCCAAGGAACATACCCAGGAGTCTCTCGCCTTCAGAATGGCTAAGTGTCGCTGTAAGTCCGTTCATTTTGATCAGGGCAGCTACAGTCCTCGCCAGGAAAAGAAAATGAGGTTGGTCCAGCACTAGACGTTAGAGAACGACGACATATACACTATTTCACTATACCAGTTTTTTTCTTATCTTGGTGATCTGTTTTAAGATCTCAAAGCATCGATGCTTTTAGCTGTTCAGGTGCTATGTTTAGCTCCAAAGTTCTCAAAATGGCGAGCATCCTTGCGACATACGTGAAGTACCTTATCACAACCCGGATGTGAAATTGAACATTTTCTGCGGCGTTCATTGCTTGCTGCGCCACATTATAACCACCTTTTCCGTGTCCCTTGGGCGTGATTGATCACGCAGCGTTGAGTCGTTGACACCAGCATACTGTGGCGAAACGTCATGCATCAAACGCATGCATCCAAACGTTATTTCTAACTGTTGGTGTGAGCCCTTCACACATCGCTCACTCCCAAACTACATACCGAGTTCTAGATGCACGAGCAGTCTCGAACGAAGTCACTGTCGCCTGCCGCTCTTGCTAGAGACAAATTCCAGTTCAGATTCTAACGCTATCCATCATCAAAGGCACAGTTGTGATTCATTGCACATAATTGTCGTTGTACTCACCGGTTTCTGATGGACGTCGGGCAATTGAGTAGCTGCTCATCAAGAAGGTCAGCGATGGTTTCCAACGTGAAATAGCTATGCAACAGCTCGTTGAATGTCAGTATCACATCAGTCAGTTTTGTGCTAATTGTGAAGTATTTTGACTCAACATTATCCTTGAATCGTTAGTGTTGTACTAAACGAATACGTTGTAACCTTATAGTGCTTTTTTAACAATTTTATTCCCTTGACTCTCCATCCGAGTTTGATTCCCAAGTGTGCTTTATTAAAGCCTCCTTTCTCGTATAGAATGCGGGTTTGAATCTAATCCTGAGTTTCAAGATACATTGTCACCATATCATCCTGATTTAGTGTGGACACACATATGAATACCTGGATTGAATAGAAGCCTGACCACGCCACCACTCCCCTTAGTCAGTGCTCACGCATGACGGGTTAACGTGGCTCTAGTAAAAAAATGTGAATAGAAGCCTAGCCCTGACATCGGCATGAACAGGAATATAATAAATAAATAAAAATTCACGATTCGTGGGAAACTCGGCCATCAAGGCGCAGATACAGCTCCTAAAGCAGCGGGAGGTGAATAGATCAGACCCTACACAAAGGGGTCAAAGACGGAAATCCCATTCACTGCATCCATGCTTCCCTCGTGCCGAGCAACAGGAATTATTTTGAGCGATGTTTACCAAGCCCTGCACATTATGGCGATTACGCAATCACACAATCTTAAGTTGTGTGCGTTATTGTGCATGGGCAGCAATGTGATGGACGAAAAGAGAAAAAATGTTGGAAAAGAAAATCTGATTGCTCATAACATTAATTGTACCAGTACATGTAAGAGACAAAAGAAAAAAGACGCCAAAAAAGGATCTGTTTTGTAAATTTCTCTCGTGATATCAGCCATTACTTCAAAGGTGTATTCGAGCCAAACTGGTATGTTAACGCTTTGTTGTTCCGTATGTATTAGGGATTTCATATCCTAGGAACATCAGCTCAGTGTCACAAAATATTCTACACACAGAGTTTCCACGATACAGCTTGGACAATGAGATGATCATTGCAGCTCCTAAACTGCGTTGACACGTAATGTGTCACTGTGTTTTGGGACAAAGCTATGGCCTGTTAGGATTGTATGACCTTGGTGCTTTAAGGGGGTTCGGGACAGTTAGGCCCAAAAATTTAATTTCAACATCAGCCCAATCTGACATCAGGTTTGAATAGGTACAGCCTTATATTTTCGCTTAGTAACATCGGTTTTTCAATTGCCCGAATAGGTCTTGCCAAAAACACAATTTTCCTTGATGACACAAAATAACACAAAATCCCAAAATTGATGAGAAATCGTCCATAACATCAGTTAGGACAGAAAATATGACATAAAATTTTACAGACTGTTCGAGGTATTGACTAAGATGATATCAACACCGAAAAATGTACACTTTGGTTGACGATGGGATCCAGGTCGTCATTTCCTGGAGAAGATCAAAAAGACGCAAAAAATGAAACTTTGAATATTTTTTGCAGCTTATTTTTGAGTTTGCCCCATATGTGGATACTTCAAATACGTTCTATAAGTGGGTTGGAACAGGTTTACCGCGGCGAAAATAGGGGTCACCGTGCATATTCTGGAGAAAAATCCAAAAAACTGTCAAAATTTGCCTAAAATTGGTAAATTCACGTATCTATGTTGCTTGTACTTCTCTGCTGCTGCTTTGGTCATAACGTATTGGATTTTTGGCTGTTAGGTGTTGCATAAACTCACTAGAGCCCTCGGCGTTCAGAACAATACAAGGATGGAATTGCTGAACTAGTAAATTTGCCGGAAAACCCTGGGTGCACGCATTATCGATAGGTACTTTTCTCCATGATTACTCTCCGGTTGGTACTTGGTTGTGATACATGTACATGTAGCTGTGATAGCGCTTAGCACAGCCCCATATCAAACTACAATGAAAGCTGACATGTTGGAATGAATCAGACAACAATTACATTGAGTCCTCTTGTTCTTCAACTATGCAAGCTAGAACGTGTCCCCACACTGGCAAAAATGATGGTATTTTGCGGTGCGCACAAACAAGTGAAGCACTGTGCCACAGGGCGTTCCTTACAGTTGGGTTGCTGCTGGTTCTTCGCTAGGTGTTCAGCCACCGCTAATATAATCTTCCTTGAGACTGTCACCCGCTTCTTACCTCCGACTTGCTCCTTCATCAGTCTGGAAATGGCTGGCTCACCACTTCGTTTGTAGGACAAGACAAAGTGCTTCATCACCAACCCACTGGCAGCTGCCCGCACTGAAACTGATTTAGAGAAGCACGTTGCTTGGACCAACGGTTGAAGGGTGGCCAGCCGCTTTTGCTGATGTTCTGCAAACTCCATCGCCGAACATGCTGATGCAAAAGTGACAGAGCGCTACAGGATACTGGCATCAGGGCGAGCTTCGACAATTTCAGCTAGGGCCGCAACATCCGCAACAGCATCATGAGCAGCGAACTCATTCCCAACGATGAACTATAAATCAATGTGAGGCTGTAGCTTGGGAGCTCCGGTATCGCGGTTTAGGGATCAGAGTGTTCACCCAGCACAAAAATGCATACCATCGACACACACATCCGTGCACACATACACACACACACACACACACACACACACACACACACACACACACACACATACACACGCACACACACACGCGTGCATGCTCTCACACGCAATAGAACACACGCACGCGTACACACACATACATTCACGCACGTGTGCGTACCCACCCACATGCATGTGCACACTCATGTGCATGAGTGGAGATGCCCGCATACACATGTCACACCAACATGCCCTGGGAGCGGTCATGCACGTGTGTATAGTACATGTATGTGTGCGAGGGCACGTCCACATGAGCGCATATGCATGTGCATGTTCATACATGCGTATGGTGCACACATGCACAAACATGCAGGTCTATGCAAACACACACACGCTCGCGGCCGCCGCGCATACAGTGTGCTCATACATTTCCATAGCCATAGGGTGGCAATGACTCGCAAATATCATGAATAAATCTTATGAGATTGAAAAACGCACTTACCCAAAGCAGCTTTGGTGTTGCTTGTGGAAGCACGGGGGCCAGGGTGTTGAGCAGTTACAGGGCTATCTGTATCTATAAAATTCTCCATCCCACACTGCTGACACGGAATGACAAGTACGCTGCCCAGGTCGTACCTCAGGCTCTTCTCTTCAACGCAATCAATGAGCGCCAGAGGTTTGCCACATCCAGGATTCTGGCACGCAGACAATCCCACAGCCAGAAACCTGAGATGAACGATTCGTCGACCGTGAAGAGGGGCACTGAACGACCTCTTCGCGGGAGTCGAATCCAGTGGCGTTAGTGGTGGAGATCACCCTTTCCGTTTTTCAGGAACTCGATCGATCGTTTGAGTTTGCGAAGCGTCCCCCTCCCCGGCTTCTTGCATCGTCCAGTACGCAGAATGAGAGGCCGCGTCGTGGGTGACGGATTACTCTCCCGCGTCTTCATCTCTACGACACGTCGGCAGGAGAACCGAGCTATCCAAAAACCGCCAATGTCAAAACAAATCTGCAAGTCCACTAGTGGCTGAGCTTCTTCCTCAAATCTTGTCTCGACTCGAGCACCCGCTGCGAAGTCATGGTCAAACTATTTACTGAGTCTGTGCATGATCGCGTCCCATTTTTCCACTCCGAAAGGCATTATTTTTCAGAAAAAAATTCGGAAATCCAACATGGCGCTAACCGTCGCGAACCTCCTTAAACCGTTTCAAAATACTTGTTCGTTCACTAGGCAGCATTGCGATCGGTGTGGCCAGTCACTTAGAGCTCCGCTGAAAAGACAAACAAGGTCTCAGCAAATAGCTGTTGGGAGATTGCGTGAAAGCTATGGCACCGGCGGATTATGCCGGCATAATTATTGGCATAATTGGGTGGTTGAAAATTTTTGAGCATAATTTGGCATCCTTTCGGAGGTAGGAGCATAACTACATGATTGTACCACAGTTCTAGTATGTAGGCTACAGAATTGTGTAAAATGCACCTGATCAGCGCTAGTGATCTGTTTGGTGAAGGGTTTGGAGGTCATGCAGATATACATGTAGTTTTCAGTGAAAAGCAGGGTTTCATGAGGTATCTCGAGGTGGACGAGATATTGATGGGTAGTCCACAAACGGACTGTGCAGGCTATGGATATTGCTCTAATAATTAGAAAATATCAAGTGAGGTATTGTTAATGTTCGATCATGATGGAAGGAGAGGTGGAGCTACGAGAGAGATGAGCTGATTATTCGCAGGGTGAGGTTGACATCGGTAGGACGAGTGTGACGATTACGAAGACAGTCTGTTGAACATGATAATTTTGTAAGGTAACTCAAACAAAATTTAGCAATGAAAAGTCTTTTTACAAAAGAAGTTGTAGTGAATAGAAGTTGCAATGTTTTCTCTTTTCTAGGTTGATTTCTAGCATGCATGGACACCTTGGTATGGGAAAACTCATGTATTTTGTTGTACTTATGGCCACTTGGCACTTGCAAGTACATGTACGATCATTACAATGTACGAAAAACGCACAATTTTCCAAATTTTGAGGCTCCATAAGTACAACAAAGTGAATGCGTATCCCCGCGTGCCAAAGCATAATATGAGGATTTTGCGAGAATAATGCGAGATTCCATGAAAGCATAATTCCATGATTTCGGGAGCATAATCCGCCGCAGCCTAGTGAATGCCCATCAGGAAGGTGAGCGTTGGTTTGCTCCTTCCAGACGGGACACATCTAAGCAATAGGTCGTTGAATGTCAGGATCACATCAGTCAGTTTTGTGCTAATTGTGGCGTTCTTAGACTCATCATTATCCTGCTTATAATGGTTAGTGTAGGACATAACGTGTTACCGTATGGTCCACTCTGCTATAATTTTAGTCCTTGGCTCAATATCCGAGCCGTTTAATTTAATATCGTAGTTTGCTGTATTATTGTATTACAGAAGGCTAGATAGAAGGCTGTGTTGAGTACGATCCTGATTTTCAAGATGCATTGTCGGGATGTCATCCAGATTTAGTGTCGATGACTGCCTGTATTTAAAAGAAGCCAGAGGGGAATAGAAGCCTAGCCCTGACAACGGCTTGAACAGGAATAATAAAAACAATCCACGGTTCACGTAAGACTCGGCCAAAGGTCAAGTTTTCCGCATCCGTAGGAACTCCACCACCCTCTTGGATTAAGGCGCAGATACAACAATTATGCTACGTTACTGTGCATGGACAGCCATGTGATGGACGAAAAGAGATAAAATGTTGGAAAAGACAACCTGATAGCTCATAACGTAACATTCACATGTAAAACCGCACCACCGGTATTGTTTTTAAGATTAACATAATTATTACTTTTGCATATGCATTACATAATATGATCATGCTGGCTCCATTCCTTATCTCCTCAGCTACCACCCCCCCCCCCCCCACCCCCGTGCGTCTGCACAGTGTTGACTCCGAGACCCACGGTCGGACGAGCTGCCCAGGCCTCACCACTACTGCCGTTTCCGTGCTGCCTTCTCGATACATCCGTATGTACACTGTATATCATGTGCACATTCACATTTCTGGAGGTTTGTGGTTTTTCAATAAAATTAAATAAAAAGAAAAAGAAAAAGACAAAAAGACAAAAGACGCAAAAAAAGGATTTGTTTTAAAAATTACTCTCATGATATAAATCATTGCTTCAAAGGTGTTTTCGAGGCAAACTGGTATGCTAAAAACGCTTTGTTGTCCTAGGAGCATTAGCTCAGTGTCAAAAAATATTCTACACACGGAGTTACCACGATACAGCTTGGACAATATGATGATCATTGCAACACCTGAACAGCACTGACACGTAATATGTACATGATTTATGCAAGGTGCACATGTGCGTTGCCTCCTGGTGTGTTCATGACAGGTGCTGAGAGTATCCATGATCTACCGATTTACTGACTAAAACATTTAAAAAAGATATTGTACTCCTATACGATTATGAACACACGTTGAAAACAGTAAATGTTCCCCATTTTCTCGAGAACATTGCGCTCTTCTACACTGATTCATCAGTTAGTATCACGTGATTGATGGTGACAAACTTGCAACTGGTGTGGCCGACTCGCACGTTTACATATAATCGGATTGCGCTAACCGATGGATGGTGGCCGGATGAGGTCTGAAGCAATCACCGTCAGGTTCCCAGACGGGAGTTTGGCAGAAGTGGCTTTTCCCAATAGAGTGAACGTAAGCGTCTGTCGCAATTCTGCCAGTCCCTGCATGACACCTGCTGCGGAAGGTATACCCTCATCGCCTTTAACTTGTCTGTAGAGCATACTCATCGCAGCGTTCCAGTGAAAGAGAGGCAATCCCCAGAACAAAGGGTAAGGAGCCTGTCCGGGAAGAGGACGAAACGCCGTATCGTTTTTCCCAGCCAGATCTGCCAGCTGCGACAGTACGCCAAAGAACATACCCAGGAGTCTCTCGCCTTCAGAATGGCTAAGTGTCGCTGGAGGTCCGTTCATTTTGATCAGGGCAACTCCAGTCCTCGTCAGGAAAAGAAATTGGAGCTGGTCTAGCACTAGACGTTTGAGAACGACGACAGATGGAATATTTTACTACATCAGTTTTTCTTATTTTGTTGGTCTGTTTTAAGATCTCAAAGCATCGATGTTGTTAGCTGCTTATTTGCTATCTGTAGCTCCAAAGTTCTCACATTGGCGAGCATGCTAGCGACGTACGGGTAGTATCTTATCACAACCCGGACATGAAATTGCACATATTCTCCGGCGTTCGGTGCTTGGTGCGCCACACTATAACCAACTTTTCTGTTTCCCTCGGGCGTGATTGATCACGCCACGTTTAGTCGTTGACACCAACATGTTGTGGCGAAACATAATGCATCAAACGCATGCATCCAAACGTCTTTTCCACCGGTTCATGTGTGTCCTTCACAAGTCGCTCACTCCGAAACTACATACTGAGTTCGAGATTCACGAGCAGTCTCGAGCAAAGTCACTGTCGCCTGCCGCATAGCAAAGCTCTTGCTAGAGACACATTCCAGTTCAGATTTTAACGCTATCTATCCCTCTTCAAACGCACAGTTGTGATTCATTGCACATAATTGTCATTGTACTGACCTGTTTCTGGCTTATGCTAAGAATAACATGCTTCTCATATAACACAGCATGCACCCTCACGTAAATAAAATCCAAAATGATATGCTTATCGATTGTTGTGTGTGATCTGGATAAGAAGAACTCCCGATAAGACAAAACAAATTTGTTCAGTCCTTTGAAGTTCGTTCTAATGAGGTTTGACTATACATGTACTGCGCTGAGAAGTACACGTAACATCACTTTTCACCCAATTATGGTGAAGAGAGCATTACTAGTATATGTTTAAAATCTTTTTATTGATCTCAACCGACGCAAAATAGTTTTATCTAGCACGGGTGAACCACAAAGCAACAATTTAGAACATACTCGAAATTTCAACTCGTATATATACTGTTGAAGACTGTGTGTTGGGGCAAAGCTAGCTACCCATCGCCTCTCAGCACAATCTGATCTTGGTCC